GCGGCGTTGCCCAGGGATTGCAGCGAGCACGCCGAGCGCTGGTAGTCACCCTCCAGGTGCGTGGCGGCCTGGAAGGGGGGTGGGGGGGCCCCATCGTAGCCGAAGCCATTACTGCCAGGGTACGAGGAGTAGCCTCCGAAGAGTGCAGCCGAGGCGTTGTCGTAGAAGGTGGCTTTCTGCATCGCTGGGCGAAACCCGGGCAGTGGGTGGCAACTTGCAAGGGCCTGATACCCTCACGACCGGACATTGGCACCCCTGGGGGTCACGTGAGGCGCCGGACCCCCCCTCCCCTCTCTGCCCCCCTCCTCCCGGGGTCTGTTCGGAGCCGCTGACCTGCGGGGTGAGAGAAGAGACACAAGGGGGAGAAGAGGACTGGGGCTCGAATCCATCTTCGGAACTGAAAAGGGAACTGACATCAATAGGGATTTCTCCTCTCCCCAACCCCGGCATCTTCACAGCAGATGCTGAGGCCGCTTCCTGGCCGGCAATGGATTTTCCTCAATTTCAACGCTTTAATTGCAAAGTAAAAGCCCACCGGTTTTCATTTCCACTTAAAAATAAGGACAGTACTCCTTTGGGGTCTGGCTAGGTCTAGAATCTTCCTGCTTACTGCAAAAGTCATTGCTTTCTCTCCTGTGCCAGCACACTAGCCTCTAACCTCTCCTCCTTCCTCCCCCTGTCGTCTCCACCCCAACTCTGGAGAGGGTGGCTCAAGAAGGGGGAGACTGGGAGACCCTAAAAGCATCAGCAATACCCTCCTCTGAGCTGAGGCCTCCTGCCTCTGCTCCCTCCGTGTCCATCAGGTCTCTCTCACCCACAGAGTCTCATCCGAAGGAAAGACAGAACTCCGAAAGAGACAGAAGGAAGAGGCACGCTGAGCAGAGAAGAGAGCCTTCTTATGTCAGGGATCCTCTCACCTCACAAAGACAGTAACAACGGCCTGACCTAGAAACTTCCTGAAGACCTTTCACCTCCCGAACCAGAGGAACTGGGCCTTTCCGGGGTCCCTGCATGTCCCTGCTCCAGGTATCTCCACCTCCAGGCTAAGTCTTGGCCCAGCCAAGTCTGGGACGGGGCCAGCCGCCCCCATGGGGCCCCCAAAAGGAGCAGGATTGTTTCAGTTCCCTGGCCCGGCTGCTTGGTGCTGTGACCATTTGGCCCAGATCTCCTCCCTCCTTCATTTTTTTTCCCACAGGACTTAATTTTTCCCACCCCTTTTCTTGACAGTTTGTTTCCTTTGATTCCTTCAACAGAAGAAAAGAAGAAAGAAACTGGATAACTGCTGGACTTTTCTACCAAGAGATGGGAAAAGACTTTCGAGAAAAAAAAATTCCCTAGGAAAAAAAGAAAGTCAACAAAGCAATTTGAACAATATTATTCTCTGGGCTGGAAACAGGGTACCCCTGTTGACTAAAGTTCTCTGGGGCAAAATTTTTTTAAATAAAATCATTGTTTTTTTTCATGCAGCCTTTTTAAAGTGTGCCGGAAAAATAAAGGTTCGAGCTGTATATTTCTTCTGAAAACTTCTGACTTCATCCCTCCCCCATCATCTGTCTTCCCCAAGGCCTCACCATCACACTTTTTTCATAAAACCTCCAGAATGACCCTCTCTTCTGACATGTGAGTTTGAAATACTGAAATCTCACTCAGCCCAGCTGGCAAACTCCAAAGAAAACTAAACATAGGAAAATAAAAGAAAAGGCGTGTAGGTGAAGGAAGTCCCTCCCACACATAAATCCCCTTCTTAATCGCACAGATTTATACCCCAAAGAAAGCCGGGGTGGCCCTGAGGTCCGATTGGTTTCTGGGAAGAATTTGTTCCTGGAAAATACACACGGGTCTGCAAAGCAGGTCCTTTCAGGAAAACGGGAGTTCAATTGACCAGGCTGACCCAGCGCCTTTATTATTATTACCATTAGTCTCTGATGATTTAACCAAAATTAGCTTCGGAGCAGCCCTGGCTGAAGGGGGAATTAATTAACCGGCATCCGTTGAGTTTGTTATTAATAGATAGAAGAATAAAATAAAAACGTTGGCGGGGGTTGGCTGGCTGGGCCCTGGCTTTATTTAGTCTAAATGATTGTTACAGCAGTAATGATGATGAGGAGGAGGAGGAGGAGGAGGATCATAAAACAATAATTTGACTAGACGCCTGAGGCCGAAATTTCTGCCGCTGCCCCTGCCACAAACCCGCAAACCCTTGCCGGACCGCGGCCGGGAGAGAGTGGGGAGCGGAGCAGCCAGGAGCGCGGCGGGAGAGAATGGAGCCTCCGCCGCCGCCGGGGAGAACGGGCCGGAAGGTTGGCGGCGGGGCTTGGCCCCGGGCTCCTGCCGCCGCCGCCGGGCTGTCTGGGCCGCTGCTGCCGCGGGGGCTGGCGACCAGCTACGCGGCCCACGGAGGCGACGAGAACGCGCCCGGGACGCCCACCCGGTTGGCGGTGGCAGGTTCCCAGCGCTCCGGGCTGAGAGCCGAGCCCCGCGGGCGGCAGGAGTTGGGGCGCGGGAGGGAACCGGCTTAAAGGCGCGTGAGCCACTGCGCCCGGGACTCCGCCGGGCCGGCTGCGGGGCGCCGAGGCCTGGCTGGCGGGACGGGGGGTGCGGAGCGGGAGAGGTGCCTCGGGGATCCGAGATCGGGGGACCCGGGAGCCGTGGGGGTGGGGAGCAGCTCGACCCACAGCCAAACATGTCTATTTCCCTGGCCTCCATGTTGGAAAAATCCAGGCTCCATATGGCTTCTCGGGAGGGAGCCGGTGGCTCCTGGCGTCCCCCCAGGGTGTCTCGCTGGCGGGAGCCACCCCCAGAACCCCACCTGGCCAGGCGCACCCCTGGAAGAGCCGGGGAGAGTCACAATCGCGGGGGAAGCCCCGGGAGAGGGGATAGGCCACCTTCCAGGACTTAAAAAAAATAATAAAAAACAAAATTAATGGAAGGAAGGAAAATAAAACAGGGAAGGAAGAGAACGGTTAGGCTTTTCTTATCAGCAGGAGAGAAAAAAAAATCTACCCAGGACCTGGTGGCTAAAAGAAAAGAAGAGAAAAGGAGAGAAGCAGGAAGAGAGAGGGAGAGAGGGAGGGAGAGAAGGAGAGAGAGAGAGGGAGGGAAAAACAGGAGACCGAAAGGTGCCCGGGCTGCGGGGCTCGCCGAGGATCCAGCTCCGGGCTCCGCCACGGCCAAGTCGCCACAGTGTGGTTGCCCTAGAAGACTGGTACGCCCTACTCTCCGTAACAATGGCCTCTGCTTTTGCACAGGGAAAAAACCACACAGACACACACACACACACACACACACACACACACACACACGCTCACACA